ATAAAATAAGATGCCAAGAATTCATGAGCAGCTAATTATAAGCTAAAGGAAAGATTGTCTAGTGCCTAAGAACCAACGAAATGAAACTTTGCTTGCTATATATGGATGTGTAGTAGGCTGTTCTCTGTAATGTTAAGCTAACCCAAGTAGACTAATTATAATGATGCAAAATATATATAAATCTGACCGTTTTTTAAACTGGGATTGAAAGAATCAATACCTTGGCATAACTGTCTTCAACAATTACTGCAAGATCATCTTTCTAGCAATGCAACAAATCTAAATTGAGCACCATCGCATAATCTTGGGCTTACATTGTGGAAAACAGAAGCACTGCCAGTGTTTAGAACAATCAACGTTACTTGCCAACATCATTAGAGAGTGAACAATTAGGACCATTTTTTCTGTCCAGCCATTTTAGTTGGCCTAACTCTATGTAATTGCTTCTAATAACAGAATATTCTGTTTGATATGGAAAGCATAGTTCCTCTAAAAAAAGGCTAGAATCATTCATACCTGCCAAACCCAGAGTAATCTGGTTCAAGATGTGAGAGACCAAGAAATCAAAATTTGATTAGGCATTAGAAAAGAAATCAAAATTTGATTAGGCATTAGAAACAATGTTACCTTTTGGAGAGAAGGATGCTCAACCAAATGGAAGCCCAAATTTAAAACAGCAACTAAAAGAGAATCTGACGTTATAAAATCCGTGAGAAGCGTGTAGTGCGTCTAATTTAAAAAGTCTCTCACACATGTAATTGCACGTAGCGGGCCAGATTCCCAAAAAAAAAAAAAAAAAAAAAAAAAAAAAAAACCCTGATGCCAAAGGATTGCTCTGTCATAGAAAGTAAAAGAATAAATTGAATCAACTGAACATGCTTCTTGCCAGCCAACAAAGTAAAACACAGGGCAACAAAATCACAAATCAACATAGGCATCTCTTAAGAATTTAAATAACCAAGATTTGGATGAACTGATTGTAAGCATTTGTGCATAGATGTGTAACTATTTACATAAAACATGTGAAGAACTATCAGTTTAGAGTTTCAAAATATAAAATATTAAAATTTCCATAAAAGTATTGGGAAACAGAGTTGGCATCTCACCTTCCACAATAGGTCGACAAATCCGTTAGTTATGCTTTAGCTTCTTGTTTACCTGAAAACACAAATTCACTGTTCAGAATATCATAATTTCATGAACCGGTTCACCTTTGAATCAAGAAGAACTCCTTTGTTTTATGTATGGTACTGATAATCAACTCATAATATTGGATCTCAATTCATTTCAAACTTTTATGCATTTTTTTACAATTCTAGGATCCATTTAGGCAATCTCTTAGACCATTAGTTTGTTCCCTTTGACTAAAATAAAAAACAGCACATCCGCTTGCTGCTTAGTGACCTGATAAGTCAGTCACAAAGATAACATGTAGAATGCAAATATGGATCAGGAAAAAACAACAGCTATAGAATTGATTAAATAGAAGAAGAATACATACTTATTGTGAGGTTATCCTAGCTATCCACTATGACCCAGTATATATAGCAAGTAAAAACTACAGCAGCAAATATCTCACGTATATAAATCTTACATAAACTTTGTTTTTGTACAGTGTATGCTCCCTTCAATGACAGTTTGTTTCTTATCCGGAAAAATAAAATGAGCAGGTTAATGATACTCACATGTGCAAAATGATAATCCTATGGTCTAAAGTTAATTAAGTTTTTTAGTGTAAAATCCCTAATTTCACTGCATTTCGATTGATCACAGTTCGTGACTTGTTAAACTTGATATATCCTTAGACATTGTGGGAACTTGACAGCTTAAATTTTCTTTAGTCACAGATGTGCTCATAAAAGCAAATTACAGCGACCCAATATATACTAAAAACTTGGAGAAGGGACTCAATTAGTCAACGAACAGGTGCCTCACCTTTCATGTTAAAGACCAAAGAGAGAAAACCAAGCCGAACTCTTCAAAATTCGTTGGCACACATGCATCATCGGCTCAATTGAATGTATAATGCATACTTAGATACAACCATTCAAACAATTGTTATAGATTGACATAAGCCTCCAAACTTCAAAAAAATTGAAACCTTAAAAAAGCAAAACCTTTTTTACTTCATATTTGTACTGTTTCGATTAGCTTATCTCTCTATCACTTGATTCATTCTTTCTAAAGGAAGTTCTAATCACTACCAAAACAGCTTAATAATAGTTGATTATCTCTTAAAAAAAGAGGGAAAACATGAAATAGTAACTGTACTCAAAATCCCAATTGCGTAACACATGGTTCTAATCTAAACCCTGATTCTAAAATTTAGAATTCAACACAAAAATGAAAATTGGGATGATTAGCATGGAAATGAGAGAGGGAGAAGTGTGAGGGAATCTACACATGAGGGCTTCAGATCCGGGTCCGGAGCTGGAAGCAGCAGAGGTCGCAAACTTAAAAGTATGGAAGAGGTGGGAAGGATTTTCCTCTGCGCTGCCTCATGGCCTTCCCCGTCTCTGGAACTGCTCTGGTTCCTTGCAAAAACAATGAAAATTAAATAAGACACTTGCCGGAAACTCGGAAAACCTCGTCGAAAAAACTGGACAGCAACTTACCTCGGATTCACCCTTAACCCGTAACAAATCTTTTCACATTATTCTCTACTGCCACTCGTACTTCACTTAGTACTAATCCATATAGCTGAAAGTTTGAATCATGAAGAATGAGAAGTTGAAGTATATCAAATGATAAAATTGTCAACAATGAAGAATGGGACATTGACCATGGAGACACTGCAAGAAGCAAAAGTGAGCAAATTAAATAAATACCAGCATCGACCTTTAGAAAAAAGTAAGAGCAGCAACTATAAATGAAGAATGTGCAATCAACATTAAAAGTGTATTATAGGAACATGGATCTCATAACTAAAAGACACTTTCTCACCAAACAAAGGAAAATAATTGGAGATGCAATTCAATAAAAAAAAGAAGTTAGCACTTGCTTATTGCCTTCCAAAGAAGCTAATGAGTCTATCTGGTTGAAGAAGTTTTTAGCATTGCCAGTAAAAACAACAAAAATCACATCAAATTTCAAATTAATCAACTCAATAGCATGCGTACCTTAACCGCTAGATGACGAAACATTGGTTCCTCGAACGAATCGCAAAGATCACAAACACAAATCATGAATTAGAGTTCGAATACGCATCTCCCGATTTGAAACCCTAACGTAATTCCCCAATTGTCAAAATTATTCGAAAAAGAAAGAAAATTTCCAAAACTTTAAACCCAAAAATCCACTACTGTAAAAACCCCAAAATCCCGAGATTTATAGCCAAAAAAGAAAGAAAATTTCCAAAAAATAAACCCTAAAAACCAAAAACTCACAAATATGCCCTCCTGAGGAACCATCCGAGATTCTAATCAGAGAAATCGCACAGAAGGGATTGAAGATTGTCACATACCGACTTGGAATATGCAACCTTTAGGGTTCTGGCTGCTAGGGTTGAGATGTTAAACCTTCGACTAAGAAAATGACATTGGACAGCGTAGGATACATACTGCTTGAAAAAGCAGTGAGACTGAGATTAAGAATTCAAAGTGCAAACAAACACATACAATAAAAGTAACTTAAATTGTGACGGTATAATGGACTCAATCTGTGAAAGTGCACAAGGGTAAGTCTCAGAACATCAATTTTCACATTGTCCCCTGCATTTGACCAAAGATAAACGTTTAAATTTCCAAACAAAGCAAAGAAATTGAAATTTTATCATCAAAACTAACAAATCATATTGATACATCTTTGCTTGGTGTGTGGCAAAGCTCTAACCCACTATGGGTTTTAAATTATTCTATCCAGTTACAGTGATGGGGTTCCACTGCCAGTTGACAACTAGTCATTTAGGCCATCTCCAACCGAAGGGTCCAGATGGCCGAAAATAGCCCTAAAACCGTCTCCAACCGAGGGCTAGGCCAGAGGGCTCGGGAATCTGGGAGGGCCCCACAGAATTTCAAAGGGCCAAAGGGTTGGCTGCTTTCGGCCAACCAGCCAGCCCTGGGCTGGCTATTTTTTTTTTATAGTTTTCCTATTGCTGTCGGTTATAACCGACAGCATTAGAGAGAAATTCTTTTTTTTTTATAGTTTTACTATTAGTGTCGGTTATAACCGACACTAATAGTTTGAAATTTTTTTGAATATAACGGCTAACTGAGTCAGGTAGCCGTTGCATCTAGCCGTTGGTTTTTTTTTTTTAATTTTAAACATTTCTTTTCTTCTATAAATATGGTGAAGTTCTTTCAATTCTTCACCTCATTTGCAATATTTCCTTCTTCAATATTTTTCAATATTTCCTTCAATATATTTCTCAATATTTCCTTCAATATATTTTCCAATATTTCCTTCATCTATAATATTTGTTTCAATTTTTCAATAATTTCCTTCAATATTTTTTCAATAATTTCCTTCATCTATAATATTTGTTTCAATTTTTCAATATTTCCTTCATCTATAATATTTCTTCACTTCATTTGCAATATTTCCTTCATCTATAATATTTGTTTCAATTTTTCAATAATTTCCTTCAATATTTTTTCAATAATTTCCTTCAATATTTCCTTCATTTTTTTCAAAAAAAAATGGCCTCATCTGCAATGAAATTTAAATTATGTCTCGACGGCAATTGTTTAGCTCTAACTATACTCCTACAATGGCGGATGATGTTGATTATGGATATTAAATTTAAGTCGTTGTAATTTTTAAATTTAAGTTAATGTTGTTTTTAAATTTAATTTGTAGTTTTTAAATATAAGTTGTTGTTTTTAAATTTAAGTTGTTGTAGTTTTTAAATTTAAATAATAAATTATGTTTGGCTCTATGGCCCTTTGGCCCTCGGTTGGAGATGGTTTTTTATGACAGGGCTAAAACGAGCCCTCTGGCCCTCGGTTGGATACGGAGGCAAATATGGTCCTATACTGTTCATTAAAATATTAATATCTTGGGGAATCTTGGAGGGCCAGAGGGCTCAAACGAGCCATCTGGCCAGTCCTCGGTTAGAGATGGCCTTATACTTGATAATGTTCTCATTGATCATTCGGATAAAGCTGTTAAAATGTGTCTCTGCAAATCGCAGAAAACAAAGCCTAAACCAAATCCCTCAAATCCCGCCTAAATCTTCCCACACTTCTCTCAGACACTCCCTATCCCTCTCTGCAATTCCTAAACCAAATCTCCTAAATCTTATCTGAAACACCCCCATCTCTCTACAAATCTTACAAACAAAACCCCAAACGTAATCCTTGAAATCCAACCAAACCTAATCCTGAAACCGATTCTCTCGGACGCCCCATACCATAGCAAAGGGCATTCGCAAATCTGAAGATTGAAACACAGAAAATGGTTGTGGACTGATAGTGAGTACAAAAAGGCCTCACTACTGTCCTGCTAACAGCAAATTTAAATATATAGTTCCTGATTGAAATAATCGTCACTGCATATAATAAACCTAGAAAAATCCATGATCCAATAGACTTCGCATGATGAGTATTGTTGCTAAATTTCAATAAGATAAGAGAAAATCGGGAAGAAACACCAAAAAATAACAGAATACTCAGTACAAAAAGGCAAAGGCTTGAATTTTATACTAATCTATTTGGAAACTTTCTTCTGAACCAAACAGAAGATCAAGAAGTTAATGAAGCAAAGCATCTGAAACGCCTGATCGGTTTCTGGAAAACGGCGGAGAAAAATAGAGGAACTACGTTTTTAGATGATCGGATTGAATTTGAGGCAGAGAGAGGGGAAGAGAAAGAGGGAGGAAGAGAAGCAGAAAAGCGATGGAACAAAATGGAAGACGCTGGAAGGGTCTTCCTTACCAACAACGATGAAATCCAATTGCCATTTCAAGCTCCCTCAATCACAACTTGTAGGAAAATATCAAACCCAAACATAAGTCCACTGAAATCCGAATTCAATATAATCAAACACAAACAAAATACCAAAATTATAAATAAATAAATAAAATTTAAAAAAAAAACTAAACTAAACAAATTAAAACTTTCAATTGAATAACCCCAGAATTTAAATTACTTACCAGTAACAGATTTCTCTGAGTAATCAACTTCTCAAACACAACATTCTCCAAAACTGCCAGACACATGCAACCATATTTGATAAGAATTTGAAATATCACTCCAATCATGACACAGAACATAAACATTTCGCGCTAACTGTCATTTTTAAAGTAGAATGTTCAATTATATCATGATGTTAAGTACCAGTCCCAAATTTGATAGCATTCCAAATATCTGGTTCCTTGTCCCTTGACAAATCAATACACTTGGCATAGCAACCACCTTCAATGTTTGACACACCATTGTTGCTCCAGCAGTGCTCATCATCTCCAAGTAGATACCGATTATGATCCGTAGACAGAGTCGTCTTCCCAGTGCCTGCAACAAACATCCCAGGATCAGTTACACAAACACGAAAGAAACCGAAACACAAAAGATTGATGTATCCATCGCCAATTGATCATTGCACGCATAAAATTATCATGATTCATACCTCTGCGTCGATATGGAATTTTATAAACTGGACAAATGGAACCCGATTTCATCAACTTCACGGTGCAAGTGCTGTAAAAAATAAGCAAACACTGGCAATATGATGAAGCACATTCCAAGTATTAATACATCCAAATAAAACCTAACATTCATATGTGAATAACAATGAAGGTAGAGATTACTTGCAGAAGAGATGATTGCAATTGAGGGAATCCGCAGAACTCAGTAGACTCAAACTGCAAAACAGATGGGGAAAAATCAAAGCCATTAACAGAGTGAAGAGAAATTTTAAATCTTTAAACGAAGTCTAGACAAAATCATGTAAAATTTAGCTTTATTCAGATGGGAGAGATCAAAGGTTGCGTCATTCAGCTTCACACATGGCCACAACACAATTTCAAAAACTGTGTCATCACAAAGTCACATTCTTTATCAAACTCCCACTCGGGAATCGAATAGAGGTTGAAAACGGACAAAAAGAAATACGAAGTAGGAAATATAATCAATATCATGAGTCAAAACTTGCTGCAAAGGGTGAGGGGTCAACCATGTGACTTTTTGCCCCTTAACCTCGGCCAAATAACACAATAACATAAAATGTACGGTTGAAGATTTGATAAGCAGTGTACAGTACATAACCAAACCTGATAATATATGCCTTTGACAGATACAAAGACGACTTTACGCAATTTATGAGTCCGAGATGTACGTGTAAGCTTGCCATTCATGACTCAACCTCCTACCTGTAAGCTTTTCTCTCTCTCTCCTCCTCCTCCTCTCTGCCTCTCTGCAAGCCGCATGCCTTCCCCTCACCAAATCCCTATCTCTCTCCTGACGGCATGGTCTCACCGAGTTCCTCTGCAGCTCACAAAAGGAAGGGAAATGAAAGTCTCCCTAACCCACCCAATCCGTTCGAAACCCTGCAGACTAAAACGACCATCGCACCCCTGCCTTTCCACGATTATCAGCTTCGTAAATAAAGTGAAATTCACTCCAAATCACTGTTCATTTTGTACAGTGCAATGTCCCCTCCTTTAGACTAAAGTAATTGCGTTATGCGAGTTTCAGGAAGCACACGAATTGTCAGACTCAGACCAGCATATGAACAACTGTCATAGGCCACGATTGATGTTGTAAAAGGATTCTTGGGAAGGGGCCACGACCATTAGGGGAAAACCAAAAACAAAAAAAAATACAGTACTGCAACTGAGAAACAGCCATTCCAAGCGTAATATTTGATAATTTGATAACCAAGTATTTATTTGGTCTAGTGATTTTTCTCTTTCCGATGTTCGAAGAGGTCCCGAGATTAAAGTGATACTTCGGAATAATTTATCACCTTCACCACTCTATCATGCACTAAGTTACCTCATCCACTTTGCATGAGAGTGAGTTCAAACCCTGTGAATGACCATCTAACATCTAATCTACAAAATCTATCGCTTGATCCAAGAAAAACAAAACACACCCGGCCCCCCGCCTTCCTAAAAGACTTAAGACAGTGCATGGTTATGATCTAGTTGATGAAAGCGAGCTTTCCAGGTACTGATTTAGTTGATGGAAACGAGATTTCCAGGGACTGACCCAGCTCTTATGTGACTGACGTTTAGAAGTGAATCAATGATGACAAACAACAAATAGATCACAATAAAAGCATCTCCTACAATCACAAGCCACAAATTATGGCTTTCACGAAAAATACAAATACACCAATAAGCCGAAAGTGCAGAACCCACAAGTACAACAGCAACAACAATCAGCTGGCAGCTTAAAGGAGTACATAAAGAAAAGTTCGGTTGAAACCATGGACTCAGATGGCTTATAAATTGTTAGACAACCAAATTCAGCTGTTGCAGCAGGCGGATAATTGCATTAACCGGAAACCCAGAAGTTGGTTGGATTCTACAGATTCAGATGCACTTCTACTCCATATATATGTATATATAGTATACTCAAAAGATGTCTGCACGAGCTCTCTCTTGCAGTTAATTCTGCAAACCAACGTAAATTCCCAGTTGAAACATAAGGGGGTATTTAAACATCATGTTATCTTCACCCGTCCAGAAACCATGTTACACACTCTGCATTTTGCTAGATATCTCTTTTGGTTTTGCATCGTCCTTTTCCTGTAATCAAGTAAAAGCATCAAGTTGTTGGTTACAGATAACAGCAACAAAGGTCATTTATAATCAAGTAAGCTAAATGGTACCGTTGTACTCAAGTTAGCAAAAACATACCCAAAAATGAAAAACATATGCACAAAATCCTTGGAGATAAGGAAACCAACTTAAGAGTTAGACATGCTTATTTCCAAACAAGTTTGGGGTTCAAGGGGTTATGGTTGTTAGACTAGGCACCCTTACATTATCAACCTGCCCCAGTAAGTTTTCTGGGGGTTATACCAAGGATAGGGATTTCAATCAAGGACAAGTATCTATTATGGTTTCCATGTCACTTCAGCGGTAGGCAACAGCAAACACGGGTTTCCATGTCACTTCAGCGGTAGGCAACAGCAAACACGGGTTTCCATGTCACTTCAGCGGTAGGCAATGGCAAACACGGGTTTCCATGTCACCTCAGGATTTATATCAGAATAAGTTGATAAACAATGCCGAAGATGATGCAGAAATAATAATAATGTAACACAAGTTCATAAGAACAATCTTAAGGATCAGCTGCTATAAGGCTGAATGTCTTATTCACACAAGTTTATCACTCATTGGTCACAATTTCAATACTTGTATTACATCTCAGACATGTTCTGACATCACAAAACAAAATGGGGACGTGGGGGTTGTTCTTGTAAAATATTTTACAATTGAGTATTAATTTTCCCTTACGACATCGAAAGTATGAGGAACTGATACTACATTATAATGGATCTTTGATATTCTATATCGTATATTTGAATCATTTTATTAGAACAGGCTAGTCTTAAGTTGGATACTCTTGGACCAACAAGTGAGTATATCCTAATTTTATGTCCTTTCTTTCATCATTGCATACTCTCCCAGTTGTAAATTTCTAATAAAAAATAAAGGATGTTCTGAAAAAACAAAATAACAACCTTTTTTCTAACCAGATGACTTAAAACCCTTGATTTTCATGGCACTGGTCATAGGCACTGTTCTAAGAATCCCAGCCTAGTGTCATTTAGGCCCTGCCTAGGCGACAAGTCACCGCCCGATTATTCCATAGGCGTTTGAAAATTAAGAAAGGACACATAGACCTGCCTAGGCGCCTGCCCAGTACACCTAGACGCCTCCTAGACCTGCCTAGTACACCTAGACGCCTCCTAGGTCATAAATCTCACTTAGATAGAAAATAGATAACTTTCATTTTGCATTTTATTTTTTCAATAAATTGTAAGAAACTTGTTGAATACTTGAATGATCACTCATTATATGCTTGTTCCCATGTTTTCAATATGTCCTAATACTTGATAATCTACATGTCATTCAATTTTGCAATTTATGTATCTCAATCCAATTATGTATTTATTTTCAGTATAAGTAGACATTTAATTATATGTTATATAATAAATTTAATTAAAATATATAATAATAATAATAATAAATAAATAAAACCACCTAGGCCCCCGCCTAGGCACTAGGCTCTGCCCACCGCCCAACTAGCGCCTAACGTCTTTTAGAACCTTTGTCCTAGGAAGACATTTATAAATGCAAAACCGGCACATTAACGAAGAACTCAGGACAAGAAAAATAATCCATTGATTGAACTCAGTTGCTTATATCAGCATCAATCAACATCTGCACACTTCAATCTATTAAATGCTCAATCCAACAACATATCAATCTAAGCCACTAAACAGTACAACATAAAAACGCAACGAAAAGTAAACAAGCATTACGAATGCAAGCAAACGAATGCTTACCACTCCCTTGCTCTGGTAATAATCATCTAGCGCCCACTGATATTTTGACTGATTTAATCCAAACCAGCGTGCCAAATGGTCGTCCAAACTTGAATGAGCTGCAACATAACCAAAGAGCCACCCTTAGCTGTAGTTCACTAGGGAAGAACATATCAGTAAAAGTATTCACCAAAACTCTGCCTAAAAGACTTCACAAGATGCAGGATTGGCGAAACTACAAAACAAAATTCAGCTTGCGGAACATTTGTTTTAAGTTTCTGCAAACCAGACACTGTATAATCTCCTATCTAGTTTCTCAGAAACCTAGCAGGGGTTGTAAAATCACCAATGGTCCCTGCATACTTTCGGCAAGCAAAAAGAAAACAATAAAAACATCGATCCAATGGAAATTTAATCTTCCTAACAAATAAAATTATTTACCCCACAATTCACAATAAGATCTGGTTGGCTTTCCTTGATTAATTTCATGCCAAAATCCCAAATTATCCTTCCTTTTCCTCCACTCCCCCACCCACAACCACAGAACAACCAAACACCACACAAAAACATAGTAAAACAAAGACACGCATTACCCTTCTGCACTTTGGTGAGCGCATTCTTCAAAATCCCCAACACCGAGCCATCGGACGAGGAATCCGAAGATACGGCAATGGGCTTCAGCAATTGCTGAGGCGGCGGCTGGACCGGGGGCGGGGCCACCTTCTTGGGGGACTCAAAGACCGGCGCGGCCACCTTCCGGGGAGATTCAAAAACCGGTTCGGGCGGCGTCATAAAGACAGTGTAGGGCCCAATCTTGCCGATCATTGGAGGGGGAGTGGAGTCCCTGTTGATGGCCATCTGGGTTGTGTTTGGTTTGGAGGAAGATGGGAGAGAAAGAGAGGGAAGGTAAGGGATCTTCGTGGGTTTTGAGTGAGAACTGAGAAGGGGAGTGGAGTTGCTTTAAGTTAGAGAGACCGAGTGAAAGTAGTGAGCTGGTGGATGGGAGGAGGAGTGGTGTCGACTGCACGCAACCCCAAGCGGTCATATGATATCTTTGTCTTTGTGGGTATATTTTTAAGTAAAGTAATTTTCCTAGTTGGTAGATGTGGAATGGACCGGTGGGAGTGTACCCATCTGTACCCGTATAACTCGGGAGTTTGCTTCCACTTGACAGGCAGCCTATAGCGTTTGGCAGTGACGTACATGAGTACATCTCCATCTGCTCACACGAGTTTGGTTCCTCCAAATTGCCCAAGCCTATCAAAATTCCCTTGTCATCGTCACGGCCATTGTCTAGCTTTGGAGCGTGCTTGTTTGTGGCGCTGCACTTCTTGGGGTTTTAGGAGCAACCTCTGCACTTTCCTTCTCCCTTTTGAGATTGAGTTCCAACTTCTTGGGGTTTTAAGAGCAACCTCTGCTCTTCCCTTGTTAGTTGCAAATCATGTTAAAGAAGGTGGATGCTTACCAAACCCAATCGAAAAGGTAAGAGGCCAGACACTAGGATTGACTGCAAGGCAAAAGTTGAATTGTCGAAGGCAAATGATCATGATTAGTTTGTTGTAACAGTTTTCAAAGAGCGACATAACTACTATATGGCAAGCGCCTCACACTTATTTAAACCTTATCGTCAAGTTTATAAGGCAAAAAAGGTGATGATTGAACAATGTTTATAGGCAAAGAAGGTGATGATTGAAAATTTTGCAAAGATGAATATTGCCATAAGTAAACAAGTGGATTTATTGGAGGTACAAAGTGGAGGAATCGAAGATATTGGTTGCATCCTTAAGGATATGTTTCATGCCGAGACGGACTTGCGAGTATTAGTAATAAGAACTTAATGGATCTACACCATGTGAGGTTGATATTGAAGAAACAACGGAGTTGAGTAAGGACGACTAGATAGTTTAATTGTTTTTTGCTAGAATTAACTAATATGTTAATTAATCAAATAGATAAGTTCGTTTTAGATCTCATGTTAGTTTCGGGCCCCAAGGTTCATTGGGCTTTAAATAGTCAAGCCTAATAACTTAAGTTGTATGACAACTTAAATCACAAAAGAGCAAAAGGCTCACTAACACCTAATGCCCCGGTCATTGAGGATAATTACATTCATGCCACTCAAACGTGAGTGGCTATAAAAGAAAATTTGTATGCCAAATTTCATTGGGGTTACATGAGGGAATTGGAGAGAACAAAAATGCTCTCCTTCCACCTCTAGGAGGACGGCCACTTGGGCGGATTTTAACTAGCATCAAAATACTTCCAAGTCACTCATCTCTTTTTCATTCACCTCATGGATGTGGATACATAGAGGTTTCCTTTCCTAGGAACTTGGAGAATCCATTCTTCTATCATCCACCAAGAAAAATCCATGGAGCAAAGAAATTATGAATAAATGCCATCTCTCATGGGTGATTAACATTTGCTTATGCATAGAGGATTCAACAAATGTATAATAAATCTCAACTCCTTTCTTTAATATTTGAGTTGAGTCTTGAGTCACAACTACTAGGCTTTGAATTTAATGGGTAAAGTTTAAATTTGAGTACATACAAGCATGGTTCCGCCTTTAATTACTAATTGCATGTGTAGATGTTATTCAAATGAACTTAGTAAAATCAAATTTTTGCTTCAGAAGGAGATGAACAATTTTGGAGTAATATGTCACAAAAAGAGCTAAGCAACATTGAAAACATGACAGAAGCTTAGAACAGATGACAACAGATAACTAAAAGATAGAAAAGTAGCACAATAATATAACAATGTAAAATCTCCTACAATAGCATAATGCATGACTACGTACAATAATTCAAGTATCAATATAAAAATATAAGCATCATTGTAGTCTTTTAAGAAATCCTCCCTGGGGTTTACTTGTACACAAAGCTCAAATTTCCTTATTTACATCATATAGAATGAAACATCTATATATATATATATATATATATATATATATATATATATATATATTATAATATAATGACCCAAGTGAACAACCACATAAAAAATTACAAGCTCAAATTTCCTTATTTACATCATAATTTCATAAAGAAATTTCCTTATTTACATCATAAAGAATGAAACATCTATATATATATATATATATATATATATATATATATATATATATTATAATATAATGACCCAAGTGAACAACCACATAAAAAACAATATTTACAAGACTCCCCATGTCCACCAGTCAAGGGTTGTTGCATCATAAAAACCTTGATAGGAAAACTTAGTGGATAAAACCAAAGCAAAGGGAAATTACTACAAGCTCTTTGTGAATAATTGATAAGGTGTTGGACACACTTATAGCTGGCCCTACTAAAACCTGTTGAATTATAGAATCCCATATTGGTCGTATGAAAAATAGTATACAATTGATATATGAGAGATTTCACTCCTAATATCACTGAAACATTTTGTGATAAAATTCATCCATTAGTAATAGATTGTTAAGTAGGGATAATATTAATGATGTTGGTGGTGGACTATATTGACCTGAAAAGTTTATCATGGTATGAAAGCAGATTATTCTCTCAACACATCATGGGCCCAAGTTACTAGCACGAATCATGCTTCCTCAAGTTCAAATTTTAAAAGTTGCACTAACTCCACCTTAAGGGTATTAATTAAACAATTGGGCCCTTGAAAAAGTTGGCATTGGCTCAAATGACTGAATACTAACTGAGAAAATTGGGCCTTTGAAAAGATTAGCATGGACTCCAAAGATTGAATACCGACTAACTAACCGGACTCTCAAAAAGATTGGTGTTAGCTCTAGTATAATGACTTGAACAGTTCTCAATATGGGAATTGGTTTCTCTTGTGACCCAGTGGAGACCACTCATAAAGGGGCATGTTAGAGTATAAGATCTCACATCGGTTGTATGACAAAATAACATACAACTAATATATGAGAGATTCCAAAATATCACCGAGACTTTTTGTGATAAAGCTCAACATCTAGTAATAGATGGTTGAGTTAGAACAATATCACTGGTGGTGAACCATGTTGGGTCTAAAAAAATTTATCTACACCTTACATGAAAACGGAGTAGGATAACATTTTGATCGAAAGGAAAAAGGATGTGGCGCACTATGTCCGGTAAAGTACATTATCGAGGACACTCCCCGGTGAAAAACTTCATTCGACAAAATAACTACACGTGAAAGAAAGTAAACCTTGATTTGGTTCTCGTCATTGTTGAGTTTGAAAGAGTCAAAATCTATTCAAGGAAGTAGAAGTTGTTAGTACTGGTTTAGTACCGAGGTGCTTTTATAAAAAGTGGGTATAAAAAAAAAACTGAGCTAAAAAATATGTTTGGTAAACACTTAAAAACAACTTATTTTCACAGTTTTGGGTGAAAAAAAAACTAAAAATGTGTAGTAGCAAAAATGAGCTTATTCTCACAGCACAGCATAAACAATTTTTTTTTCAAAACATAGCAATACCAAACCAATCCTTAGTGGGAAGTAGGAGAGTTTATTGGGAGTGAATAACAATAGCCTTTTGTATTCCTGCAATGGCCAGAGAAATACCAAAAGAATTAAAAGTATATTACAAACAACCTGTCAGTGTATTAGTTACACATAATTGCATATGAATTGTAGCAAAAATACAAAGAATAGCCCCCAAAGGTTATTTGTAGCATTGAAAGAGAGTCGTTCCACTTGATTTTCGCGAGTTTTCAGCTAAAATTAATAAAATAGCTAGCCTGTAAGAGGGCTTACGTAGCAAGTATAATACTACGGTGATGTCTCAGTGCCAATAAAATAAACACGTGTAAGTTGTTAACATGTTCTTATTTCATTAACATAGGACGCCACCCTGTTGAAGATGCTCTAACAAATGAACTATCAAGTTTTGCCTCGTAAACAAAACAAACTAATTTCCAAGTAACCGGTTCTACTGCCGCATGAAGAAGCCAAGATTATCATTTTCCATACCATCAAGGCATCAACAATCATCAAACATACACGACTGAGGCGTATTTGTATACTTTACCGATACGAGAGAGCACTAAGCATGTAATTCTACATACAATCAAGTCCATACCTCCAAGTAAAAACTAAATTCAGAAGCAGTAAATTCGCAAACTTTACGGTAAATTTTGTGAAGTGGGAGAAAGAATGTGGAATGAAAGCTATCAAAATACAAGATTACTCTTTTAACTCACACTACACAAGTAGTCATATGCCAAAACAAAGCGAAAGCAAAAGCAGATGCCATATTCCTTCCAATCACAAACTCGGTAAGCGCATACAAACGATATCAAGTCACAGCAGCAGTCAACTTTATATAACAAATGTATCTGGCTGCGGGTAACGAGGAAAATGTAAGATAACACGGAATCAAAGAGAAACCAAAGAGCAAAGATTCAGGGCAGCAAACCAAAGAAGCCGCATTCCTTCGAGACTGGAAATGCTTGAAACTCAGTCGGAAAACTTGGTCTGCACCCAAATATGACCGCCATGTTCTGCAGAGTTGAAGGCTGGCTTGGCTGGCTTCTACACAAATCTGCCACACAATCCTTACTTGTCTATCTTCTAAGCTGGATGCCATGTCTTACTCAAATGAAGGATAGCTGAACAAGGATTCATTACATATAGAGGAGAGGACTAGCAATACGTTACTATAAACATGCATCATTTTTTACATTTGGTTCAAATTACAGAACGTAAAACAACACATAGGTATAATAAGACTAGGCCTACATATATAAACCTACCTATCCACTATGTACTACTAACCTGACCAAGGAAGAATAAGTCACTCTCCGTACTGAAGGGTAGTCACACAAACCTCACAAAAAACAAACATGGTTCAAGTCACTCATGAAATTATTGAAAGTTCATCTCGAGCCAGGACAATTCCATATAAGAAATGTGCACTACCTCTAACACCCAAAACAAGCCCCGACTAAAGTAACTTTTGTCAAGAGCTATTAGCGACTGAAGCAGCAACCTCTGCCTGGCCGATTCCTCCGAATGAACCCCAATCTTGCACTTGAAGGCTAATGTGTGGTTACAGCGTGTTCCCATATACTCTTAATCAGATTACAGAGTTTGCCAGTGAAAGCTCATGGAGTTCACTTAACATCCACTCTTCTCCAGTTTGACCACCAAGGACAATTGCCCTTGTCCCTCCAACAACACAAGTACTATGTCCCCAGGCGAATCTTGGGGGCCGCCCAGGTACATTCAATATCCTCCATGTAGGTTTTTCATCCATTGGATCTAAGAGATAAAGTTGTGACGCAGAGTGAAGACCAGCAACAGACCCTCCAAAGATCAGTATTCTCCCACCTGGAAGGCTCACAGCTACATGATCCAGTCTAGGAGGAGGAGCCATGCCCCCTGGATTTCCAGAACCGGGCATTCCACTCCCTGTAACACACCTCCAACACGGTTCATCCTCACTCAGATCCATTGTGAACACATCGCTGGAACGAAAACGAAGTGGACCACTTTTGGCCAGGCCCCCAAACATCAAAATTTTTCTACCACCATATACAGACAGGGTGTGGCCCAATCTTGAAGGGGGCTTCCATGCTACTGGTATCTCTCTCCACACAGGTTTCTCCATTGAGAGATCAAGCAAAAAAGTATCACTAAGGAGTACTCCAGAATCTGCACAGCCACCTGAAACTATCAACTTGGTGCCATCAAGAGTGCAGGAACTGTGCCATGATCTAGGAAGTGGAGGAGCCAACCCAGATATTTCACGCCAAGTTGGAGGCTTTGCGTCCAAATCCAGTACGAACACATCATTTAGCAAGCCCTGCCTTCCACAGCCTCCAAATACCACCAAATGGGACCCATTCACACAAGATAGTGTATGGCCCCAACGACCAGGTGGAGGAGAGCTGACTTGGACATGCTGCCACTCTGGGTTACTGGCATTTAGATCCAATATGAAGGTGTCATTCATCGGTTGCATATTAACCCCTTCACCACCAAAAAGGACAACACGATTTCCAACTGCACAAGCACTAAAGTTACAGCGTGAGGGTTCAACAGAACCTCCAACAGTCACCTTTCTCCATGTCGCTGCTTCAAGAGTAGTCAGCTCCCGTGCCAACCTACCCCAACCTAGCCTCTTCGCACCAGGCACAGCCTCTAAAACCCGAGTTGTTTCACTACCCCATGCATTTTGGCAGACCATTCTCCAAAGGTCTTCATTCTTCGAAAGCTCATACAGCCGCCTACAGACTGAACCAATAGATGCAATGTCTCTAGGTGCCAATTTCGATAGAATCTTGAGAGCAAGTACCTCATCACTCAATTGCAACATTCCACAAACCCCACGACACATATTCCGCTCCCCCAGGAAGGCAGCAGGACGGAAACCAGAAAGACAAGAACGAAACCGATCAGAAAATTTTGCTGACTCCTTGATTGAAGTGCCAGGCACGGGACCTAGATCAATATCTGCCTCCGTGAAGAACTGAATCCCGATGATGTGAGTTATCACATCATCATCCCCATAGATTGGTGTCAGCCGCAATCTATTCATCATTGGAGATCCATCTTTCCTAAAGTTTAATAACTCACCTTGGAATTCAATACCCTCCTCCAGACATCTTTTAATTTCTGCAACTACTGCAGAGTCTACTAGTGGATGCCTTCTTTTTGCAAATGGTCCTCTATATTGCAAAAACCGGCTGCAAAAAAAAGCACCTACATCAGAACAAAGCAGAGGAAGGAAGAGAAAGAAAGATGCACTATTTCTTTAGCTAACATCCAACTCCAACAAAAGAGAGCCCTCAAACTAAAAGAAACACAAAGACTATTTGGTTTGTCTCCAAATATAAAAACAAAAATAAAAAATTACACTCTAGTATATAGCAACTAAATCATATTTTTATTTATGTTTTGCCTTCAATAAGGTCAGGTTTAAACACAATAGAACCAAATGTCAAAGATGTAGCAAAGTTTATACTTACCTCCCCAAAAATCAGGATATCTTACAGCAGTAAACTTTGTAATAATTCGCATGTTGCAGCTTTGCTATTGTAATTTTGACTCAATTACTGTCATTGTTAACTTAATCTTGATTTTGCAATACTATAAAGTGAAAGCAACTATTTTATCAGATCAATAAATAATAATAAAAGTTTAAAACTGTCAAAAGTACCAAAAATTATGAAACTTCAATCTTTTGTTTCCCCTCAAGGTGAATCGGCTACTCATATAATGAAATCAATCTTTTCCCCATGGTTTGAACTTTGGACTACACACTCCATGTGATTCGTAAGGCCCCTGATGGATCAAATACTAGGAATCACAAGGGCAAATAAATTATTATTGTCATGACATATGGCCAAACAATATTACTATCCTAAGCTCAGGGCAAAGGCAATAGGTAAGGTCATTTATACAGTGACCATAATTTCAATGATTCAACTCAGGTTCAATTGAATGCTAGTCGCATCCAGTACAAGAGAGCCATCGATTCAACTCAAGTCATTGATACAGTGCCCATAATGTCAAAATATTCAACTCAGATTCTATCGAGTGTTCTAGTAGTTGGTTTCTTGATTTTGGTTGTTCTTTTCACATATCCAAGTGTGGTTCTCTTCTGACAAGAGTGAAGAATGTGTTGCATTCACTATGGATGGCCAACCTTATAAAATAGCCAGTAGATGAACAATTAAACGTGTCTAGTACTAATACTAAAAAAGACCAAGAAAAGAAAAATAAACAAGCATTTAGCAATAAAACTTGAAGCACTATCCTCAATGCAATGTTACATGTAACCAAACAATAACCCTAGCACATAATTTTTCCTTCTTTATATATAATTATATAATATATATACACTTGTACATAAATACATATAGTCCTCTTCTTAAGAGGGATCTATTTCGATAAGAACCAAAAGGGGTTGCATTGGTAGGGCCACCCAGCAATGTGGCCCAAGTGTCCAACTTGACTAATTTTTAGATTTCTTTATAACTTTCCCATTTAAATTTTGATTTTGTTGATTTTCCACATGGATACTTCCTAAATGGAAATCCAAATTAGACACTTTGCATCATTGGACAACAGTGTAAAGTGGGACCCAAAATTACAATCCCTTTTATATCAGGTTTTTATATTCGTAAGCAGTCAAATACACACCAACTCGTTCTTGATTATGATCCTGATAGCTTAGTTACACCTAAATGTGATGATCAAACATTCTTAGACTGGATTAAATCATTTTTAGAGCTTGTTCAATATCTTCATAACCTAGTTAAGCCACAAACACCAAGAAGCTCACAAACAGAAACATACACGAATTTCAGAATGCCCAGCTCCTTAGTAGTCAACACTTATATTTTATGACTTATCTGAGCCAATACTATGGTGCAATAAGAAAAAACATTTTTCTTATGCTTTACAGCTGAGCTTCGATGACTAACACCTTATGATGTGTATAAGATTGCACTATTCTAAGTTATATAAAATGAATACAACAACAACAACAACAACAAAACCTTTTCCCACTAAATTGGCCATGCAAATTTTTTTGTAAAACAACTGTTTCTATTATACATACTTTGTTAAAACCCTGAGGGAATCTTTTGAGGGAAAATTTACTTCAATCAAGTTGGATATGTACAACCTCCAACAACTCAATTTTGGCGTAGAATTTAGGTAATCTTCCCTACTGACACAATCTCTATGCTCAAACAGGTTTATCAAATGACAATTTAGTGGTGAATATTTAAGCTTTATCCTACTTTAAAGTGGCCAATTATGGTGGCTGTAATATTATAAGAGACTTATGCTCTTTCTTCTTTATCTGCTTGTAATCATGGAAAATCTAAACACTTTTGAGCGACATTAGGCATTTCACTACTCAACCAGTTAGGACAATGATAGAAAAATAGATGGATCATATTAGATACCATCTAGCATATGAATCTTCAAAAGTTAACTTGATGCTTGCAATTTGATGTATTCATTGTATGACATTTACTCATGATGCTACAACCAGGAGACAAAACCATAAAAAAAAAATAAATAAATAAAAAGCATGAACCCCTTGCATAAAAATATTTCAACTAACAGGTAAAGCACCAAAAAACATCCCTACAATATAATCTTTCATATTATGACTAATGGAAAGAAAATAAAAGCATTCAATTCAACAATATTATAGATTTTAGCTAAACAAACCTATTATACAACTCGTGTCAATGACTTACTAATAGATTTCAAGCATTATAGTAGCAACAATCAAATTCCCCAAGCTTATACCCTAGATTAGAGGCGGAGAAGACTTTGTATTAAAATACACATATTCAGAAAATAAAATAAATTTTCAAGATACAGAGGATGATTAGAGTTTTCATTTAGGAGAGCCAGACTTTTGGCCTCCTGGAGCACTCTAGAGATGTATTTGGTGTGGTTCATCAACTACAGTGGAGTCCTGTATCGAGTGTGGCTTGTTTTATTCCTTTTATGTAGTGTTTTCTAATTGGGGTACCTAGAAGGGCTACTTGTCCATCCCATTTACAATTATTTTCTACTTTATATGAATTTCTCGTTTCTTATGAAAAAAAATTAAAATTACAAACTTCAATAAAATAGAGCAACAAGGCAACACCCAAACACTCAACAGAAACCTGTCGCATCAAATTTTGTTATAATTATATCCTGAGATTATCATTTGCTTTGACATCTACACCATGAGAAATTTGTATTGGTCCTACAGGAAGTAACACTAAACACAACACGCCACCACTAGTCTCATGACTGGGTTTATGACCACAAAGAATCAACAGAACAATTACTTCCAGCTCCAATTTGCTTAATTTTCATCCAATTTCCGAGCACAAACAAAACCCTCGAGAACTCACAAACCCAATAAGCTGCCCAATACCAACCACAATCACCACAGAAAAAAATCTATTCAATCCAAAATACCCATCACGCAGCTTCTTTAATAACGCAAAATACAATCCCCACGGTTTTCTCAACAAAAATTAAGCATTTCTGAGAACCCCAAATCAATCTCCCACCAAAAGCACCCAAAACAAAGACGCACCAATAAAACCCCCATTCAAAACCCTAATATCAAAATCCCAAGATAGAAAACTGACCAATTGCGACCAAGAACCTCCTCGGCACGGTACCCCGAGACCATTTCAAACACAGTGTTGACGTAGATGATGGGGTGGTCAGGGTCGAGAGCGTCCGTCACAACGAAGCCACACGGCGCCGTTTGGAGCAAATTCTCGACGGGGAACGGAAGCGGAAGCGAACCAGGGGCAGAAACGTCGTCGTCGTCAGGGAAAATCAAGCTCCCTTCCTCGTCCTCCTCCTCCTCGGAGCTCAGATCGGAATTGCTATCCCACTCCATAGATATTGCTTTCAATCGGCCAGAAGAATTTGAATCGTCGTCTTCCTCCTTCAACCAATGGAAAGTTCGATTGGAATTGTTGTTGGCAGAGATGGAAGGGGAGCGGAGGAGGTGGGAGGTGGGAGGTGTGGGTGTGGGTGTGGGTGTGGGTAAAGATTGAGAAATACGAGTGGTGGCAAGTGTTTGTGGAAATTAGCTTAAAGCCTAACGGATGGTCGGCTGGACTTTTAACTGCCTTGATCGTAAAAATGGAAACTCTCTGGACCGGCTGGTGTTGTTGGGAGCCGGGTCGGGTTTCACCAGTGCGCGCAAAGTAGATCAAGTAATATCACAAAGTCAAGAAACAAAAAAGTGAGATAAACCTATTTGATGTGATGCACATTAATTTGAGAAGAAGTTAGGAAAGTCAACGTAGTCCGAAAACAAAGTAGGATGAATCCTCAACGGAGGGGAATCATGTCATACCATAGTTTGAGAGGACAAGCTCATGTTAACAAAATTGTCCTCAACAACATTTCCTTAGCGACATATGTGAGAGGCGAAGAAAGTCATCTTCTAAATGCAGTCCAAACAAATAAACTATTGCATGCAATGAGACCAATGAGGATCAAAATCAGTCGATCGGAAGAATAAAAATAACACTAGAAGAATCACTTTCTAGCCAAAGACAATTTTGAGCCCTGGGTTCCAGATGCCTTTCAGAGTATTAAATCTTTATCACTCTTAATTATTCCAATTGTTAGCAGTTTGTGGTCTAACTAACAGGCACATTATAGCAACTCCAGTTTACTATCTTTCAAGTGCAAACGGCACCAGTGCCCTTTATACTAGGAAATAACCATAGGTACCTAGTATCTAATGACGGTTTCAGCCAAGATTAACCTTTTCTTGACCTGCGTTGAAAATTTTCGATCAAATAGTTCCCTCCGAAAGCTTTATTTGATCATGTAACGGTGTAACTCTTTCAGAATTGTACAATGCTTATCAGCTATGTGCTGATAAGTAAAATCCGGTAAGGGGTATGCTATATACCTTCTCCATTTGTCTTCGCCTTTGTGCCTTTTCCACTCATTTTTTGACGGCTAAATCGCGAAAATGATCCCTGAGATTTATATAACACTTCACTTTGGTCCTTGAGATTTCAAATCAATAGAAGTGGTTCCTAAGATTGTCCACCATCCATTATTTTTGTCATTCCGTTAAAAACTCCGTTAAGTGTCCTGGAGCTCTTGGCCAGAAGTTTGGCCAATTTTCAAAGCTTCGTAATTCAATCGTTTCTTAACCAAATTTGACCCATAATATATCAAAATGAAGATAGGAAAGTGTAGAATACGATTATACCTATTTGGAAGCCTAATGGTTGCTGGAGATGGCCGGAAAATAGCCTCAAAGTTGACTAGTCCGAGGAAAAACTTGAAAACTTGCCGAAAATTGGGTAAACTTTAAACGTTCATAACTTCTTCAATACTTAACGAAATCAAGTGATTCAAGAACAAAAAGCATACTTCTCGACGAGACAAAAAGAATGGTACCTTTTTTGATGGCTAACTCGCCGTGGTTTGGCCGGACAACGGCTCAAAATTGGTTATCTTGGTCTCAAGTTAGCCACTTTCGAGCCGTTTTCCGGCCAAACCACGACAAGTTAGCAGTAAAAATAAAAAAAGGCACCATTATCTTCGTCTCGTCAATAAGTATGATTTTCATTTTAAATCACTTGATTTCGTTAAGTATTGAAGAAGTTATGAACGTTTAAAATTTACCCAGTTTTCAACAAGTTTTCCAGTTTTCCCTCAGACCAGTCAACTTTGAGGCCATTTTTCGGCCATCTTCGGTAACCATTGGGCTTTTAAATAGGTGTAATCTTATTCTACACTTTCCTACCTTCATTTTGATATATTATGGGTCAAAATTTGTTAAGAAACGATTGAGTTACAAAACTTTAAAAATTGCCCAAACTTCCGACCAAGAGCTCCGGGACACTTAACAAAGTTTTTAACGGAATGACGAAAATGATGGATGGTGGACAATCTCAGGGACCACTTCTATTGATTTGAAATCTTAGGAACCAAAGTGATGTGTTATACAAATCTCAAGGACCAGTTTCGCAATTTAGCCTTTTTTGACATGTGGACTCCTCTTACATAGACCTGGCATTCGTGTCGTGTTTTCCGTGTTCGTGTCATTTTTGTATCATACCCGATATCTTAACGGGTTGTGTCGTGTAACACCCGTTAAAATAAACGGGTAAAATAACCCAACCTGAAATCGACCCGATAATATTAACAGGTAATATGACCCATCCCGTTACTCGTTAAGGAAAATATATTTTAAACTAATAAATAATCAAATGAAAAACATAATAATAAATAAGTATATACATACCATATTGTCACATCCAAAACATAAAATAGCATTTTTATTTTAAGTATATATTTACATACCCAAAATAAGAGCATAATAAAAAGAACATTAGAACATTATAAAATATCAAATGTTCAAAAGATTTGCAAAATCAAGGACATTGGAACATTAGAACATTGGAACCTTGCACATTTTCTTCCGCACATCCGATTCTTTCACAAGATGGACACATAGTGAGGGTGGTTGTTGGCATATGCATGTACAAAGGTTGGTTTAATCTGTTAGTGTTTCACAGAACTTCTTCAAGAACTCACAGTCTACCTCAGCTTGCTTAAGCTTTGTCCTACTATATCCTAATTGTTGTTTGGTATGAATTTATGAATAGGTTGTGGCATTTCTTCCAGCCATGGATATCATGGCTGAGCAATTTCCTGGAGCCTTCTCTGGGTATTCTCTACAAGTACTTCACTTTTCCCTTATAATTTGTTACTGATGCTAAATATATTATAAGAGAAAGTCTAATTATTTGATAAAAATGATCATTTTCAGTATAATATTGACATTCAAATGAAAAGAATGAGAAAATGCCTTGCGTGAAGAATGAAATCCAAATAACAATTAGCTCAAGAACTACAGTCCAATTCAAATCGAAAACCCACATTAGAATTACATACTTCCCAATAGATTAAACTACATACATCCCAATCCATCCCAGATAACAATAAGCACAAGAAATAATGCAAAATTTGGGAAGGACTAGATTTAGATTTGGCAGGTTTAAGCATAAATTAATATCAGAGGTTTAGATTTGGCAGGTTTAAGCATCAATTAACACGAAACCTTAACAAAAACTAGAAGAAAAAAAACCCAAATCTGAAAACGCAGTTCTTGATCCGAATTCCAATTTAATTCAAAATTGCCTACTCATATTGAAATCCAAATCCCAATCCCAATGGAGCCAATCCCAGCTTTTCAATTTTTGGAGAAGTAGACTTACGGTAGCAGTGTCGTCGGCGGCTGTGGTGTTGCCGAAGAGGAGAGGGTTACGGGAGTTGGGAGACGGATTAGGGCTTTTGTTTTGAACAAATGGTAAAATTGGAAAATAATGGAACAGAGAAGGGGTTTTTTCGTTCAAAAAAGTTATAATAATATAAGTGAAATAGAATCTAATGGTACATATTTACTCTCATTTATCTTACAACTGTTATTTAAGTAAAGTATTTAATAATTTTTTAATTAATGTAGATGTGCAAAAAAATATAGAAAAAATATATAAACGCTCGTAATGACAAGTTTTACAACTTTCGTGAATAGCTTAACTTAGAAATTCGTCACTCTAATCATATAAATCATAGATCAAAATTTAACCGTTAATTGTTGTTTACATTTACGCTTCATTTTTCTCATCAAATTTTTTTTTTTATTTTTTTTATTTTAGATTTTCTTTTTTGAAAACATGATCTATTAGAGGATGCAGGAAGATGAACAGTTTGGATCGTTGATATTACGTTCAGAGTTTTACGGTTAGTGAAAATATTGCTTGATGTTTATAAAGTTTCTACAAACTATATGACATCAACTCATATTTTAGTTAACCATAAATATCGAAAAGTGATATCAAAGATTTGAACCGTTCATCTTCTTACATCCGCCAGATGATCATGTTTTAAAAAAAAAATGAAAATTTAAAAAATGAAATTCAGTAAAAAGAATAAAGCTAAGTGACAATTAACAGTTAAAAATAAATGTAGGGTTTATGGGTTATAGTGTTGGATTTCGAAGCTGACCCCTTCATGAAAGTTGTAAAGTTTGTCATTATGAGTGGTTGTATATTTTTTTTTACATTACACTTCTACAATAATTATTATTAATTTTTCCCTCAAATAAAAAACATTATTCATGAGGGTTTGGAGGATTTTAAAAATCTAAACGATAATGTAAGTGTAACCATTATCTGCTCGTGGAGGAATAATGATAAATCACTAGTGTTTATATATTCTTTCACATTTTTTATACTTGTATGTATGTCTTCTTAGTTCTTGCCTATGCAAATACTATACTAGTTGATTTTAATTTTGGACAACAACATGTTAAGTAAAATTTATCCTAGTAATGATAATAAGGAACTCTCATAATAAAAATAAATAATGACAAAAACTTTTTTTTTTACTTATATAGAATAATAATACAAAACTACATATTTAATATAGAATATATTGTATTTTATTATAAATCTTTTAGTAATTAAACTTTAAAGTTATCAAAATATTTTTTTTCTTAACGGGTCGAAACAGGTTACTCACGTGTGTACCCGTTATTAACGGGTTCTAAGCGGGTCACCCGATAATGACCTGATTAGTTATCGTGTTGACCCGAAACTCGTTATTTTCGTGTCGTGTCATCGTATTGTATTAGAAACTACCGGGTCTACTCTTACACATTCATTTGAAAATAAATGTTTAAAAAGGTGAGTGGTGTTGATGCACAAAACCGGAAGGTCTTGGAACAACGTAAATCCGACCTTGAATCTGCAAGAAAGTAAATAACACAAGATGTATCGTGATTCACCCTAATGTTTGGGCTACGTCCACATTGTTGTTGATATTGTTTCACTCTGAATGGTGAATATACAAGAAGGCTAGAAGCAGTATGCTCTCTAGCCTATTTTCTCCCTTCCCATGGCCTAAATCTTGACCTCCCTAATGAGGAGAGTGAGGAGTCCTTTTATAGAATAAAGGCTCCTCACTTATTACATATTTGTCCCTTCATTTATCAGATAATTACATTTGAGTCCCTTGAGTATTTATACGAGATCTAAATACGGAGGCCTTAAGTATGGTACAAACAGTAGTCCCTCAAGTCTTCAGTCAAGAGAGTCTTTTGACTGGAGACTTGAAATTCAGTCCATGTGTGAGCTGAAATAACTAGATGTCGTATAGAACTGAATACTTGATATGAGGCGGTGTTCAATGTGAAATGATGCTCAACTAGAAGTAGTACATGTTGCGAGGCTGCTCGGCTTGTGGTTTATGTTGCCTTGGTTGGCTCGGCATGTGGCGTTGAAGGTGAGGGAGTCCCTTTTATAGAATAAGGGCTCGCTCCTCAATACATAAGTGATAAGTTAGGAGTGATGCTCGCGGCGAGGCGGTTGCTCAGCAGGCGGCGTTGCTCTCTAATGATGGTGAGGGGGTCCCTTTTATAGAATAAGGGTTCGCTTCTCAATACATAAGTGATGGGTTAGGAGTGATGCTCACGGCGAGGCGGTTGCTCAGCTGGCGGCGATGCTCTCTAATGAAGGTGAGGGAGTCCTTTTTATAAAATAAGGGTTCACTCCTTAATACATGAATAATGGGTGCTCTCTAATGAAAGTGCGGGAGTCCCTTTTATAGAATAAGGGTTCGCTCCTCAATATAATGATGGTCTAAGTCCCCCAAGTATTTTTCATGAGACCTAGTTGCGGAAGCCCAATATATGGTACATAGTGTAGTCCTCAAAGTCTTCAGTAAATAGAGTCTGTTAGTTGGAGACTTCAAATTCAATCCATGTATGGGCCGAAGTGGCAGTTGTTCGGATGCGGTCTTTGTATACCATGCACTGAAGCTTTGTAGGTGAAGCTTTGAAGCTGGAGCTTTTGTAAATGAAGCTTTTGAAGTCGGAGCTTTGTAAATGAAGCTTTCGAAGCTGGATCTCTGTAAATGAAGCTTTCGAAGCTGGAGCTCTGTAAATGAAGCTTTCAAAACTGATTGACATGAGTGATGCTCATGAATGTTTATGTTGATTGACATGAGTGATGCTCATGGATGTTGACATGAGTGATGCTCATGAATGTTTATATATGATTAACATGAGTGATGCTTATGAATGTTTATGTATAATTGACATGAGTGATCCTCATGTATAATTTTGGAGTATTGGACGTACTTTTGATCACCTAGTTGGTGATAATAGCGGCAGGCTGCCGAATAATTCTGGAGTACTGGATGTACTTTTGATCACCTGGTTGGTGATAATAGAGGCAGGGTGCCGAATAAATTTGGAGTATTGGATGTACTTTTGATCACCTGGTTGGTGATAATAGCGGCAGGCTGCCGAATAATTTTGGAGTACTGGACGTACTTTTGATCACCTGGTTGGTGATAATAGTGGCAGGGTGCGGAATAATTTTGGAGTACTGGACGTACTTTTGATCACCTAGTTGGTGATAATAGCGGCAAGGTGCCGAATAAATTTGGAGTACTGGACGTACTTTTGATCACCTAGTGGGTGATAATAGTGGCAGGGTGCGGAATAATTTTGGAGTAGTGGACGTACTTTTGATCACCTAGTGGGTGATAATAGCGGCATGGTGCTGAATAATTTTGGAGTACTGGATGTACTTTTGATCACCAGGTAAGTGATAAGCAAGTAGGTGTCCGGTCAGACAAGAGATCAATATGAGCATGTGGCTTATCAGTTTATAAGTTGGTAGACTTCCTTAATCAGCAACAATGTTGATCAGTGGATCTAGTTGCTCAATAATTCCTTACAATAAATGACAGTATGAGTACGACCGTATAATGAATAAATCAAAATGACAAAGTTTGTCAAGGCAAAATATTGTATTATGTGCCTTTTGTGAATAAATGATTTATTTTGTTGTGTGATAAATGACATGTTGCATAAATCAACAATATATTAGGTATTGCCTAAATGTGTGTGTATATATATATAATCATGAATAAATGATTTATTCAGTTGTTTGATAAATGACATGCTGCATAAATCAATAATATATTAGGTATTGCCTAAATGTGTGTGTATATATATATATATAATCATGAATAAATGATTTATTCAATTGTTTGATAAATTGCATGTTGTATAAATTAATAACGTGGTAGTAATCATATGATATCAGAAATTATATTATTTAATCATAAGTCATCATGATATAAAAATAATAAAATTATTATTTTATAATTAGTCAGCATGACACAAATAAAATAATAAGATATTAAATAAACAATGATATTGAGAAAACATAGTGATGTTTGCTGAAAAGGAAAAGTAAAGCTTTCTTTATTTTTTTTCCTTTTGTCAGATGACAGACATAATAATGATAGAATTAATAATAGGATGATTATAAGAAAACTTATCGTTTTAGAGTGGGCATCTTCTGGTCCAACAGAAAGTGGGATGGGGGACCTTGGTGCAGTGTAGTGGTGCACTGTAAAGTATCAAGTTTTGGGTAATTTGCCAGCTCCAACAAGACTTGGTGTCGGCACCTCTTGTTGTGCAGGCTCAAGTGGTACCTTTAAAGTTTTTCCAATCAAGTATTTGACAGCTGCCCCTTTGTTCTGTTCCGTGGCTTTTTCAGAAAAATAGGCATGGGGTCATGCACAAAGCCCTGGCATGCCATCGCGGGGCCATAGAGCTCCATAGTTGTTGCCAAAGAGTTCGTTCTTTTCCAACTTCTCATAAGCATCAGCTTTGAGGGGGATCTACCCGTATATGGCCTCGTCGGCGGCAGCGCTGAGCCAAAAGGGCCAGCCGGCGGAGACTTGCTCAGCCTCCAAAGAAGAACGACTTAAAAAACCTAATCTGAAGCTAAAGGCACCACCTTTCCCGCCATTGTGACTATTATGGCTGTGATAAGACCAGCTTTATGATGATTGTCTGTAAATGAAGCCGGGGGAGTACTTTTTGATGATCTGTTATAACCACCATATTACAAGTGCTGTACCACTTGCCCCCACTACTATGCATGCTATTGATCGTCTGCAAATCCAAATCCCCAGTGTTACACACCCGGCGGACCGGGACGGTCTCTGACTCCTTCATGACGAAAGTTATCACGGCAGCATAAAACTGATTCGCAACCGCCTTGGCCATCCTGCGAAACTCTTGCTTCATCACAAACTTATGCAACATAGCAGCGGGCTTGTTCTGCTTCTTGGACTTACTTGTCGCCAGCAGCACAGATTGATCTTTGCCCACACCCTGAATGGTCACGGTTTTCTTGTTTGCCAACCCAGAGTGCTTGTAAGAGTGGAGATTGAGGAGGTTGTTGGGCTTCTTGGTCTTACTTGCCGCCAGTAGCACAGATTGATCTTTGCCCACACCTTGAATGGTCACGGTTTTCTTGTTTGCCAACCCAGAGTGCTTGTAGGAGTGGAGATTGAGGAGGTTGTTGGGCTCCTTGGTGAACCGCACGCCGTCATGACTCCTCCCGAACTCCTTCACCAAAAAAGAGTTGTTCTTCTTCATTATCTCCCATATCAGTTGCTCTAGAACCGTCGCCATCTCCGAGATTTTGATTCAGATGCTTAGATTGGGGATTTAGGGTTTACGAAAAAGAGAGGATAAGCGGGGGTTTATCATTCGATGAGCCTGCGAGCGTCTTCGGGGGAGAGCTTGGGGGCGGAGGTAGGATCCGTGTCCAGAATGACGCCGTTCTCGTCCATCTTTCGCTTCTTGGTTGAGTCCATTGGCAGAAGAGCAGGGTTAAACCCTAACCCTTGGGAAGAGAAACAAAGAGTCTAGAGAGAGAGAGCGAGTTGGGATTTTTATGTTTACTAGCAGAGAGAGGCCAGGCTCTTCCTGTCTGTGGTCATGTGGAATGTGGAGGTAGAAGTGTCGGAGTTTGGGGTTTGGTTTTCTTGGTTTTTGCAGATTCACGGTGGAGTGTGGTGAGGTTTTACGGTGGTGAGATGAAAAAATGAAAGAGAACCGACATAACTTTTCGTATCGTTTCTCACAGACGGCGTCAAATGTTGATGCACAAAACCGGAGGGTCTTGGAACAACTTAAATCCCATTGTGAATCTGCAAGAAAGTAAAGAATACAAGATGTATCGTGGTTCACCCCAAATGTTTGGGCTACGTCCACATTGATGTTGATATTGTTTCACTTTGAATGGTGAATATACAAGAAGGCTAGAGACAGTGTGCTCTCTAGCCTATTTTCTCCCTCCCATGGCCTAAATCTTGACCTCCCCTAATGAGGAGAGTGATGAGTCATTTTATAGAATAAAGGCTCCTCCCTTATTACATATTTGCCCCTTCATTTATCAGATAATTACATTTAAATCTCCCGAGTATTTATACGACATCTAAATACGGATGCCCTAAGTATGGTACAAACAAGTGGGTAGGGCATGAAGAAGAGAGTAAATGGGAAAGGTAGCTAGCATTCCTATAAACCACATTATGAACGGTTTCAAATTTGGAAATAGTATTTACAAACGCTTGCTGTCACAATGAAAGCACCATTCCTTACATTAAAAACTTCAAACTTCATCGGTGGCTAATCTAACAAAATTCATTTAAAAAAAGAAAAACAACAACAACAACGAAGCAACAAAGGTTTGAAACAGGACAGCCAAATAGGCGATTTTACATTCTTTTACAATTACATTAGCCTTGGAAACCCTATATATGCCGGTGTTTAAGACAAAAAGACCAAAGAAACCATCAGCGAACAATCAATAATTCATGCATTTGCCCCGAATGCGAGAAGCAAGTCTTTGCACATATTGACCATCAAAAGAAGTATCAATTTCCTTAATCTTCGACAGAAAGTCCATGGCTTCTTTATATTTTCTCGCTTTACAATAACCATCCGCAGCAATCTTGTAGCTTAGCTCATTTGGCCTGCAATTGTTCTGAGTCATATAGCTAATCACTTCATCTATTTCTGATAACATTCCCAGCCCTGCATAGCCTGTGATGAAAGTATTGTAGGTGAAAATACATGGTCGAAACCCCCTAGTTGTCATCTCAGAGAGAATTCTTATGGCCTCCTGCATGTACCCTTGCCTGCAAAACCCTTTGATGACTGTGTTATAAGAGACGAGGTCTGGTTTCCCACCAGATTTTTGTATGGCCATGAGGATTTCTTCTGCTTTCCAACACTCTCCCTTTCTGGTGTACATGTCCATCAAGCTATTGTAAGTTACGAGATCTGGCTGAAGGCCGTTTTCATGAATCATGTACAACATGTCATTGGCCCGATCATACATGTTGTTTCTAGCAAAAATTGAAAGGATAGCGTTGAATACAACCAAGTCAGGTTTGTATCCGTTGTTTTTCAATTGATGGAATGCCCTCTCCATGCCGTCCAGTGCTCTGCACTTGAAATTCGCAAGAATAAGAGTTCTCAAAAGAATCCAACTGGGGAAAATATGATAGCCATAAATTTCTCTCTCAATACTCTCGATCCCCTTGACATTCCCTCCTTTGGCATGACAGTTGATCATCAATGAATATGATGTTTCATTAGGCTTGAAGCCCTTATTTCTCATGTCTAGCATAACAGCTTCTGCTGCTCTCCAGTCCCCTATCCGAGCCAGAGCATTTAGAAGTGCATTGTAAGTTGTAACGCATGAAGTAAATCCTGCTTTGATCATCTCATCGTACATCTATGCAGCGTCTAATTTTGATCCACACCGTCCATATGCACTGATTAAGGTATTGAATGTGTCTCTGTCTGGCTGAAAACCACAATTCTTCATTTCTTGAAATACCTGGTTCACATACTTGTGCCTACCCTTATCACCACACATGGCAAGCATTGTGTTCCATGTAATACGGTTGGGGGCACATCCACTTGACTTCATTTCACAAAGTAACTTTATCATCTCCTCGGGCAGTGACTTCTTTCCCAGCATTCGGAGAACAGCATTGAATGTGCAAACATTAGGAACACAACCTGTCGCCTTCATATGATTGAACAACCTTAGAGCCTCTTCCTCATTTCTAGCTTTACCATATGCATTTATCACAGTTGTGTATGTAACAGCATTTGGCATTGTTCCTTTTTGGGTCATCGTTTCTATGACAGATGCACCTTCCTCAAAGAATCCTGCCCTCACATAAGCTGCCACAAGCTCATTGTAAGTAACAGCATCAGGTGGGCAATTATTATCCTCCATTTCTTTTAATATGCTCAAGGCCTCCGTAAATACCCCTGCCTTGCCAAAAACTTGTAACAAAGCATTATAGGTAACATTTCCAGGTACATAGCCTTGTGACGTTAACCCGACAAATAACTCATTTGCCTCGTTCAACAAACCCTCTCGCCCACAAGCAGATATCACCGTACTACAAGTAAACTCATCAAATTCCAATCCCTTCCTCCTCATCTCATCCAAGAGTCCTAAAATCTTATCCCAAGATCGACCCATCTTCCCATATACATCAAGCATGACATTGTAAGTCACCAAAGTTGGTGACATACCATTTTCCATCATTTTGTCAAACAAGTCAATTGCACTTTCGTACTTACCACTACGAGAGTGCGCATGAAGGATAGTCGTGTAAGCTCGGATATCCAGCGAGTATTCTTCTATGGGAATTACATCGAACAGCTTCGATGCAATAGCATGCTGCGACTCTCTCCCAAGAATTCTAACCATTAGTTCAATCATCTGGTTATTTAATTTCAAATTTTCAGAGCTTAAGTTGGACAGAATCCATTCAAACAACAAAATGGCTCTTTCCCAATTGCCAGAAAGATCTAATGCTTTCAACAAACTAATTAAATCAACTTCAAATAACTCAAACTTCACAGAACCAAAGAAATCATCCAAACCGTGCAAAGGCTGCTCTACAATGGAATTTAACATCAACTTACCAACAACAACAACAACAACAACAAAGCCTTTTCCCACTAAGTGGGGTCGGCTATATGAATCCTAGAACGCCATTGCGCTCGGTTTTGTGTCATGTCCTCCGTTAGATCCAAGTACTCAAGTCTTTTTTTAGGGTCTCTTCCAAAGTTTTCCTAGGTCTTCCTCTACCCCTTCGGCCCTGAACCTCTGTCCCGTAGTCACATTTTCGAACCGGAGCGTCAGTAGGCCTTCTTTGCACATGTCCAAACCACCGGAACCGATTTTCTCTCATATTTCCTTCAATTTTGGCTACTTCTACTTTACCTCGGATATCCTCATTCCCAATCTTATCCTTTCTCGTGTGCCCATACATCCCACGAAGCATCCTCATCTCCGCTACACCCATTTTGTGTACGTGTTGATGCTTCACCGCCCAACATTCTGTGCCATACAACATCGCTGGCCTTATTGCCGTCCTATAAAATTTTCCCTTGAGCTTCAGTGGCCTACGACGGTCACACAACACGCCGGATGCACTCGTACACTTCATCCATCCAGCTTGTATTCTATGGTTGAGATCTCCATCTAATTCTCCGTTCTCTTGCAAGATAGATCCTAGGTAGCGAAAACGGTCACTTTTTGTGATCTTCGCTAGATTGCTCCGGTCATTAGTGTGGATAAGTATATAAATGGATAGAGATAGGAAAGCAAACACAAGATGTACGTGGTTCACCCAGATTGGCTACGTCCACGGAATAGAGGAGTTCTCATTAATTGTGAAGGGTTTACACAAGTACATAGGTTCAAGCTCTCCTTTAGTGAGTACAAGTGAATGATTTAGTACAAATGACATTAGGAAATATTGTGGGAGAATGATCTCGTAGCCACGAAACTTCTAAGTACCGGAGTGCGGTATCGTCTTGACTTGCCTTATCTGTCTCATAGGTAGATGTGGCATCTTCTCTGGAAGTACTCTTCCTCCATCCAGGGTTGGTATCTGTAACTGGTGGAGATGCACAAGGTAATGTATCAATTTCACTTGAAGCTTACTTGTAGTTTCATGCTTGGTCAAGCGCGATACAAACCATGTAGTAGGAGTCCCCCAAGTCGCCGAGCTAGGGGATCTGCTGAAAGAGGTGACAGACAAGGTAAGCAATCAGAGCTCCGGCTGATTGTTCACATTCTCCCTATCTTGCAGGCAGCATGAAGGATAAAGAGAAGAAAAATGAGAAGAGATGATATGGGATACTTTTGCTTTTGAAGAAGTAACTTTCCACAGGCTTATTCTTGAACTGGGCTGGAGGGTTTTCTGTTTTCCTCCAGAGTATAAGGCCGACTGAAGAATTTGAGGGTCAAAACAAGTCCATCAAATCTAGAGTACGTTCGACCCTGCTGATATGGGATACTTTTGCTTTTGACAGAGTAGTGGATGTATCGGCACGTGTGCTGTTACGCTTGTCTCCACATGCTTCCTTGTATCCTTCTCACTTGCCCTATCTGTTCCTCAGGCAGATGCGGTATCTTCCCTGGAAGCATAAGATGTTGAAGATGAGTACTTGAGAGCAATGCCAGGTAAGTAATCAGGTAAGGGGTTCCATGCAGTCAGTTCCTGGCTGGAAGCTTGATTTCAAGTGCTGACTGATTGCTCTCTTTCTCCTTGTCTTGCAGGTAAGAACAAGGCCAAAGGAAAAGACAGGGAAAAAGCATGATATGGGATACTCTTGCTTTTA